TATAAAAAAACTAGACACATAGGTTTGCGTTGAACCTCGCTTTGCGTGGAAAGTAAAAAAACCCAAAGAGCTTTGTCTCTAGAAATGTAAAGAAACACTTTTTTCACGTCTGATCTACATAAATACAATGTCAACAACCTTTATTTTTCTTTATTTTATAATAGAAAAATCATTAAAATTGTGAAATCATAACTTTAAATATCTCAGAAACTATAAGAGACCGCCGGTTAAGTTATAAAGAAAAGTTACTCAGGGTCATGTCCTTGACAACATATGTCAAGGTCAAAGTCATCGGTGAGGTGTAACCTAATATGCAAATTTACCGTCGATTTTATCGATAAAACCGACTATTTCTCTGAAATATTCTTGAGCAAGATTAATATCTCTTCTCATCTTTTAAGACTCCTGGACTCGTTCTGACATCTTGTGAGAATGTGACATCAGAGATGAGAAATGACACGCTAAGAATTCTTGTGTATCATTTCTAAATAAAAAAATATTTGGATAAAATAACACTTTAAATCACTTCAACACATTTCAAAAATACTCCGAACACTATTGCTTTCCCTTGAAAGTTAATAAGCAGCCGTAAAATGAATGTAATACAAACCTAGCCATGCGCCTACGCATAAGCCTACATTTGTATTACATCCATTTTATGGCTGTTTATTAACTTTCAAGGGAAAGGAATGGTGCTCGGAGTATTTTCGAAGTATGCTGGAGTGATCTAAATTGTTATTTCATGCAAATATTTTTTTATTTGAAAATGGCATGCAAAAATTCTCAGTGTATCATTTCTCGCCTTTGACGTCACGGTTTCACAAGATGTCGGAAAGATCCCAGAAACCTTAAAACATTAAATGAAAGATTTATAATATTAGAATTACTACACAAATAAATTTATTAACTTTTAATAAATAACATTCATATTTTTTGAATAAAAAACATAAAAACTTACACTGTCGAATCCTCCAGTTGTATCAATTCCAACATTTCATTCGAGGAAAAATTAATAACTTCTATCTCATTTTTTTCGTTTGAAAAAGATATTTCTTGTTCATTATGCGTCATTTTGTAAAAATTAATTGCAAAAGCTATAATATATAAAAAAACAAATTTAATATAATACAAATATTAGACAATTTAAATAGATGAAAATAAGTAAAATGAGACAAATAAACAAAGATTTGAAGATATTATTCTATGATGGTAAATCAACGTGTAATTTATTAATAAACAACAGGAAAGAAGATTATTACTTGAAATTAAAATATATGAAGTAGAAGTAAAGAACAAATATCAACAATAGCGATCATAATCAAGCGACGCGGTAGCGTCGCGACGCCAAGTATATAAGAAAAACGTTTCAGCTTGTCAACGGTTTGCCTATGTTGCCTATGTACAGGGGCCGCGACGCTACAAGTAACTTATCTGGAGTTTTACGTCTAATAAACTTTCGATTAAAATTCCTCAGGAACCAAGCCATTAATCAAAAATCTAACGGCACTTTTCTTATACAATGTGGATGCAAGCTTTCGATTGCGACCAGTTTGAATAAGATTGGTGCAGTCAATCCTGAGGAATGATAATCGTATACCAGAAATGTGACATTTTTCGTTTTCCATCATTATCATAATAAGGTTCAGTTTCAGACTCTCACGTACGTATGCTCGCACGCACACACGCAAAGCGAGTTTGTCCCTCAAGGCGCGTTCATATCGCTC